TCGTCCTTCTGGCACGGCGGCTTCTCATAGTGGCTGCTGCTGGGAGTCGGAGGAGATGGGGGCGACGGAGGAGAGGGAGGAGAGGGAGGAGATGGCGAGGGGCCCTTGCCGGACACGACGGGGTAGGATGCCTGGCTCTTGATGCCGCACTCACCAGGTCCCGGCTTGCCACGCTCCAGCTTCACGTAACCGGATTCCCCCCAGCTAGATCCCCAGCTGTTCCTGACAACTTTGACAACCATCAACTGCCCTTTCTACGTTGACATGCAGACATGCATTCTCTAGTCAAAGACTGCTTGACCTGCGATCCAAACTCCTCTTGCAGCCAGAAGGCTTCACCAACCAGTAGTCCTTGCCGTCCTCGGTTCCGTAGCCCACGACCAAGACGCCGTGGTCCAGCTTGGTGCCGCAGGTCTTGCTGAGCACTCCGCCCTTGTAGAGCTGGAAGGCCATCTGATCTGCCTGCTCTCCCAGACACGCTCGAAACACAGCAAGCAATCAAGCACAATACGGTGAAGGATCCACCGGTTTAGACTAAGCTTCAGCATGATCGAAGGCCACCGACACAGTCTTGCCTCGATGGCCACGGACACAGGCTGCTTCGAGACAGCGTCCATCAGAGACTGCTCGTCGTCGGCCTTGACGTCCTTGTAGCCGGTGACGCCGTGCGCGGGAATTCCCACCTTGCAGCCGGAGGCCTTGCAGATGCCGTTCTTGGCCAAGTACGGGTAGCTGTCCTCACAGAACGAGCACGAACCCCTTGCAGGCTCGCCAACCTCGCCAAGCCATCGACAACATCATGGAAAGTGCGAACCCCTGCTAGCCCGTCCTCCGTGCACACAGGTGCCTGCTCCTCATACTTGAAGCCGTTGTCCATGAGGCCTCCGCTGCAGCCCTCGTTGCCGAACTTCTTGGAGCAATCGACCAGCCTTAGACACTGCAAGCTTCGACGGGTTTCACATGGTTTCTTCCTGAACTGGGCATGCCCTAGCTGAGTTGCAGGCTGCTGCTCAGACAGCGAGACAAGCTTGCCCGTGGCAATGGCCCAGGCACCCTCCAAGGCACCCGTCGTAGAGAATGCCCAACATGAGCCTGGGGTGTTCTTCAAGGCACTTTGCAGATCTCTTATGTGTGTGGCACTCCTCGAAGGCATACGTCTCTACAACTATCCCTTTTGCTCAAGAACGGCCCAGGCGCCGCACTGCTGCTGATTCTTTACAGGCGTCACAGCCTTGCTGCGCCAGTCGACCGAGCTGGGCAGCGAGGAGTTGCCTGCCTTGTGCATGCCCAAGCTCGGCAGCTCCCCCCACACGGACTCTGGAAGTTTCAGCCCGAGTTTGTTCATCTTGAACTCATCCAGCGACAAGTCCGAGAACTCGTTCAAACCGAGCTGGTAGGAATGACCCTTGGCATTCTCACGCGCGATGTACTCGAAGTTGTCCGCGAAGGCACCGAAGCGAGCCTGCTTCTCGACGTCGTCGTAGTCCTTGCTGAAATCCTTCAAGAACTTGTCGAATGCCTTCTCCACGTCCGTGCGGGGCTTGTGGGCACCGGCGAAGCCCAGCACGCCCAGGCACGCGATGCTCAGGGCTTTCACCATGACAAAACTTGCGGCACGCGAGAG